GGCAAGATCAATGTCGACAGTAGCGCCATGTACCGTCATCCTGAATTAGCGGCGTTGCAAGATAAAAGTCAGGAAGATGAGCGTGAATTGCGCGCTGAAGCATGGGAGCTAAACTACGTTGCACTTGATGGCAATATCGGCTGTATGGTGAATGGTGCAGGTCTGGCGATGGGTACGATGGACATCATCAAATTACAGGGCGGAGAACCAGCGAATTTCTTGGATGTAGGCGGTACGGCAACCGCTGAACGCGTTGCAGAAGCGCTTAAAATCATTCTTTCCGATGATAAAGTAAAAGGTATTTTAGTGAATATCTTTGGTGGCATTGTGCGCTGTGATTTGATTGCAGAAGGCATTATTGCTGCGGTAAAAGAAGTCAATATTACGGCCCGTGGTGGTTAGGTTAGAAGGTAATCATGCCGCAGAAGGTGCAGCTTTGCTTGAAAGCAGTGATGTAGACCTGATTAGCGCCAACGATTTAACCGATGCAGCCAATAAGATTGTTGCTGCCGTAAATACCACAGAGGGAGAGTAGTCATGAGTGTATTGATCAATAAAGATACTAAAGTTATCTGCCAAGGCTTCACTGGAAAGCAAGGACTTTTCACTCTGAACAAGCGATTGCCTACGGCACAAAAATGATGGGTGGAGTTACGCCGGGTAAAGGTGGACAAACGCATCTTGGTTTGCCTGTATTCAATACGGTTAGAAACGCCGTTGATGCCACTCAGGCGGATGCCAGTGTTATCTACGTGCCAGCGCCTTTCTGTAAAGATTCGATTATTGAAGCGGCAGAAGCGGGCATTCAATTGATCGTGTGTATCACCGAAGGTATTCCTGCCTTGGATATGCTCGAGGCAAAAATGATTGTTGATAGCTATGGCTTGCGGCTTATTGGCCCTAACTGCCCCGGCATCATTACGCCAGATGAATGCAAGATTGGTATTATGCCAGGCGCTATTCATAAAGCAGGTAAGGTAGGCGTGGTATCTCGTTCGGGCACGTTGACGTATGAATGTGTTAAGCAGACCTCTGACCCAGGTTTTGGACAGAGTACCTGTATTGGTATCGGTGGCGACCCCATTCCGGGCACTAACTTTATTGACGCACTGACTTTGTTTGAAGCAGATCCTCAAACGGAAGCGATTTTGATGGTGGGTGAGATTGGTGGAACGGCGGAAGAAGAAGCGGCTGAGTTTATCAAGAGCAATGTGAGTAAACCCGTGGTGGCGTATATCGCGGGTGTTACTGCGCCTAAAGGTAAGCGTATGGGTCATGCTGGCGCGATTATCGCTGGAGGAAAAGGCACCGCAAATGAAAAATTTGCGGCACTAGAAGCCGCTGGCGTACATACTGTACGCTCTCCTGCAGAATTAGGTAAA